CAAATATAAAACCCTTTTCCTAAAATCCCCTCTTTGTGTAGAGATACATCTTTCATGGCGAGAGGCAGAAATTGTCGGTCAAAGGCCTCCGATGCGCGTGAGTTTAAGTGGCCTGTCATTGACAATTTCTGTGCTTCTAAGCATGTGAAAAGGAAAAAAACCAAGTTGTAAAAGCTCCACTGCCACAGGCCAGGTTAGGAGGTCGGGAGGACTAAAAAGATTAAGCTGTTGTCCTCACGCGAGGCAACCCTGCAACCAGAGGCAACGTTTTTTGGGGGGGTGGGGGTGTACTCCCTAAAAGGCCAAGAGCTGAGAACTTGCTCATCTGGTTTTTCACGCTGTGGGCTCCGCTGCGTGCATGCGAACAGCTTGTAAATGACGGAGGAAGCCAAGGTGTATGGAGACCAAGAGCCTCGGGCCAAGGGAGTTTACACAAAGTGTTGCCATTAATCCGCCCTCTCAGATTTTTCTATTCACGTCCGCCATAACAATGCCAATGAATTGCAACTCTCCTCTAAAGCTAGGCAAAAAAAAGGTGTTTGGCAACTCTTTGAAATGCATTTTTGACAAATGGGATATTGTATCCAGAGAACGTCTGCCAAGACACACCCGGCTGTGGACAAACGGATCACACGTGTGTCATATACAGGGTCAAAGAAATTAGGCTTTCGCTGAGTGTTAAAAATACGTGCAAATCAAGTGCTTTTGCAGACGCAGCTTCATGCATTTCAAAATACAACCATTGTACATTTTATCCATTAATTTATTGCCTAAACCGAGCTTGTTGATCTTGCATGTGTGGCTCAAAGAAGCGTCTTCACATCCACAATATGGCCGATTACAGTGTGTTACAGCTTCCTCTGGAAGACAAAACATCCAATAAACCCCTGTGGTGATCAGTGTCTCTGAACCAGCCTCACGCAGTGGCCTCTTAAAGAGACTGCTGCAGGACAACGGATAATACATACAGAACACGGGTTTGGTGGCGTGCTTTGGACGCAGCTGACAAGTCCATTACTCAATCGGACAAGCTCCAATTCTCAGGCCTCTTAGCGGCTCCATTATGAGCAGCATGACAGAAGTCAACCCACAATCGGAAGAGGGTGTGCCCAGAGACGAGGACTGGACGAGGAACAGGCTTCAGACAGTAAACGAGGGTGCTTAGCACTCAGAGCCTCAGGCACGTAGCTCACATTTAAGAATGAGTTAGCGTGTCAAGATAGCGTGTCTCGCAGCAGACCACGCCTGCACCTGTCAGGTGTTCTGTGGCATGTATGCGTCCTTCGTGCGGGAGATCGGGTGTGCTGCACGTAAGGCGGTGTGTGTGTGTGTGTGCGCTCCCTCTTCCCCATGCAGCTGCATACCCCGGCTGTGATGGACACCTGTGCTCCACCTAACCCCTGCAATGGCTGCGGATTCCTGCAAACGTCTGAAAAATGAGCAGGAATTTCCACGATTCAGCTGGTGGCATTTTTGATAACACATTCAATCCGGTTGTATAAACTGTTACATTTGTGTGTCGTTTCTGACTCTTACTGGAAATCATCCAGTGCCTGTGGGTTTCATTCACAGACTCCAACTGAAGCTGCTCCAAACCAGAGTTGCAATACAGAGAGGGTTTTCACACATCATAACCCATGACAGCCAAAAAAAATAAATCCTGTTTGTGACAACTGACACGCAGGTAATTCTCTTCACATGCCTCCTGCTAAAAGAAAAAAACAACAAGCTGAAACTCAAGTGACAACAGTTGTGAGAGTAATATTCACAGTGCGGGAATGATGCAGTACAAACTTATGAAGTTGTTATAGCTAAACAGGTCAGCTTGCAAATAAGCGATTATTGGCAAACTCAGCAGACTTGAAGCAGCATTAGCCCTAGTTTGGAGTCGTGTTTCGTCGTTTTTTTCCCCTTTGTCCGATACGATTAGCGCTTTCAGAGTTAAACGTTTCTACCAACCAGTTTCAGTTTCAATCAATCCCATCACCTTATTGTTTTCTCCAATTTCATATGATTTTTGATTGAATTTTGCATTTTAATTCTTTAGTTAATACAACCTTTGACCACAACATTCTCATTCCGTGCTCATCCTTGAGTCCAAGAGGAGCTTTGTGCCAAATCTGATTAAACCCCTGCAGACATTCCTGAGATTGGCGAGAACGGACTGGACGGAAAGAATCTGACGAGGGTGCAGAGGCCAAAGATACGAATGCAGCTTTGCATCCCTTGGTTGTTGCATCTCAAGGCTCTACAATAATTATCGAGGTGTCAGATGTTACGCAGGTGAGACCAGCTCTCTTTGGATGCAGCGCTCACCTGCTGCTGTTTGTTTTTTGCCCCCTAGGATGTAGTTTCACCCAGGTAGCCAGGTCTGCCTGCCTTTGGGCTTTATCTCAGACACTTGTATGTGCCATCAAAGAAGGAGATTACTGATATGCTACTGGGGCCTGCGTGCGTTCTGAACTATTCATACTTTAGAGATTGGAGTCTTTCTCACTCCGCTTTCACGATGAATACCAAAACGAAGCCGGGGGAAGAAAAATGAAGAACCGCTGAGTGGTTCCCTCACACGGGATGGCGGCACATTTGACATGATTTCATGGCCAAAATAAAGAAAGCAGTAAGTGAGAAATCACACCCTAAATGTCTCTCTCATGTCCGTGCGAGTGTTTAGCTTCGTTAGCCGTCATCTCATTAGTCAGTGTGGTAAATCTTTTGTCTCATTTGATACGGTGTAGTTTAGTGTATGTATGCTACATGCTACAATGCTAAAATTCTACTTCTAGGGGTTTGACACACTCTAAAAAAAAGCATGTTTCTAGTTTTTAGATTAATTAATTAATTAATGTACCACTTAAATGAACAGAATTCCACTGTTGCATGGACGGCATGAATTGTATTCCAAAATCTGATGTATACCCTCAAATGTGCAAAAACGCATCGGTACGGCACCGTGAATACGTGAATTGTGGCACAGTAAGTTTGAGACATCCTTTCTAGAGTTATACTGAATAATGAACCACCTCGGAGTCTGACCTTTAACCCTCCCCTGAAGGCAGAGACACAATTTGCAGAAGTAGATTAAAAGAAGAGAAGACAATGTTTTCAATAATTTACCTGAACTTTCACACGTACACTCACGTTTCTCAAGACACACATACGGCAGACAAACAGACTCCACACACACACACACACAGAGGCCCAGACTCTTAAACGTGACAGCGCTGTCACGCATGAGTTGTATTTATGAATGGGCATAGTGTGCCAGTGAAGAAATTCCTCTCATACTTGGAAACATGGCTAAATATAATCGGTATCTGTATTCTCATCTGAAGATGGGAGACAAAAATAACACATCTCGCAACAATCTCAGTGGTCGAAATGAATGCATTGCCTGGATGAAAACCCTGGGCAACTTTGTTCTGTCACAGGCATTTTAAGTATATTTCAAAACCCTCAGCAGTGATAAGCGTATGCCTACGAGTTATGAGAAAAGTTTTTAAATAATTGAACGTTTGCCGCTTGACTTTTTCTTTCTCCTCCTTTTGCTGATTCAATCGTGGTGGGTCGATCAAATTAGCAGGTGGTACAGCAAGTGAACTCTTTTGCACTCCGTTGACCTCGCCTCTGCTGCCCTCTACAGGCCGAGGGGGGAGCCTCCCTTTGCATGACAAGTGGTGAGAGAAATGAGATAATCTCCCTCACCCTCGCCTTTCTCTTGCTGACACGGCTCTTAAATTGTTTCATGTTGTTTGTCCTGATTCCAGGTTGCCCCGGCAACAACTCCACTTGTGAGCGGTGACCGCACGGCAGAAGGCGGAGCTGTTAGGTGACAGGCCTGTCGAAAGACACGCCGCGTGCACACACGCGCACACACGCGCACGCGTTGACATAGGTATAAGGACACAAATTAAAAAACACATGCAGTGGATATCTATTTATCCTTGGATCCATCATTGCAAAGGCACACACACACACACACAGACACACGAGCACAGCAGATCTTTGGTCTTCAGGATCAAAGCATCAAAAGAAAGATGAGAAAGGAAAGACCAGACAGGGAGAACTCGCACCACAGATCAATGGCTCGCCGTGATATTTTTCAGGCCTCTCCCTGGTGCCGCGTACGAGCCCAGACAGGCCTCCCCTCTTACAGCCTGTAGTCATCATCCTTCCAGCTGCATCTGACCTCTGACCTCTGACACCAACACCTTTCATAATTACACTCAGCCACGCTACAGTTCAACAGTGCTGAGGATAATGAGTGTGTGTCTGTGTGTGTGTGTGGGGGGGTGGGGAGGGGTTCATGGGTCTTGCACATCAAGGATGTTTTACAAATTTAGGAAAGAACCTGTGTGTCTTTGGATGGGAATGTAATGTGATGCAATGCTTCGGTGTCCCCAGTGGAGCAGTGCAGTGGTGAGAAACACTCAGGGGGATGGCCTGTGACTCAGCAGCCTCTGCTGGTGGACAGGCTTCACTTCAGCTAGGAGGGTCCCAAGAACAATACATGCATGAGACTCTGCAATTCAGAACTGCCCAGAATACGAATGACAAGCACTGTTATATAGCAGTGAACTGCACTGCATTTACAGATTATTTAGGGTTGAGGCAGCATCACATCACATTGGAATATCTGTAGATATGTGCAGCCAGATGGGCAAATAAAACCTCTTTACCTCTTTGCCAAAATAACCTCAAAATTACTAGTGACAGTTGGCAGGTGTAGTGCGATGTTTTGCAGGGTGTTGGACGAGACGATCCCACCCTCCATAGTATACCTGTTACCTGTGAGGCCGGAGCGGGATACATTCAACGACAATTTGATGTGACCAAAATGTTACAATCAGCTACCATGAAGTAAAAAAACAGTTACAAATCCCCAAACCGGACAGCGCCGTGGTAGCGACCTGTCAATCACTCATTCAAAGACTTCTACGCAATCTGACTTATTTTTGTGAGAAAGCAAATTGTTCAGAAATGTCAAATGACTCCATTAATAACTTTGTTTATGGCTCCATCTTTGTTATTTATTGATTAACATGTAATGTTTATGCCGTCTTTAAAATGTAATCTGTATTTTAAAAAAGAGTCCACTATTTTATTAAGGCTATGTCCATGTCTCCAACCATTACCTGTCTCCCTGGAGCTTTCCCAATGCATTCATCCATTTTATACTTGTTCGAGTTGTTTAATTGTAAAATTTAAGAAAATACATCAAACATTTGGGTTCTGTCCAACAGGTCAGGGTTGTGATTGTGATACACTCAGGAGTTGTCGTCTAAAGATGACTCAGAGTACGGAGGAGCAGCAGAGCTCCGACCCGAGGGGCCGGGCGCTGCGCCTATAGCTGCAGGGGGGAGGCTCGCGGCGCCGGCCCTCTGGCTTCGTACCGACGCCCTGCAGGCGAACTGTCGGAGGCAGCGGAGCTTCCAGCGGGGCGCTCAGGAACGAGAAAGGACGCAGACGACGAAGAGAAGTGGTCGGGCCTCTGAGGCGCAGGCATGAAGACGGACGCTGCATCTGTCTCACTCGCACTCACACTGCAGTCGCCGCTGGCAGTGGTCCGTAGCGTCCGATCCCCATCTTCAGTGATCCTCGCGTCTCTCTGTTTCACCGGCAGCGTCCAGAATGCAGTCGAGGCTCCTCGGCCGGTTCACCCGCTTCTGTGGTTGAGGCCTATTTACATGTCGGTGACTTGAACGCCAGCATCCTTTATCAACGTGGAAACAAAAGAGTCAAGACTGTGGAGTGCGTTTGCTGTGAGTGGGGGGCGGAGGGGTCGTCCAAAACAGGGGGGGGGGGATGTCAGGTGCCGAGCAGGAGATCTCCTTGTCCAGAGCCCCACTCTACAAAATCCATTTCCCCGCTGGCATGAGGAGGGCCGTCGAGGGAGATGCCCCGCCGCTCCCCGAACACCTTCTCCTGCAGTTCGATGATGTCGTTGCGGATGTCAGCCATCATCAGCAGGAGGAAGTCGAAGGAGCCGGGTGGTCCCTGGGGACGGGGGTCCAAGTGAGGAAATGATTAATGGCAGGTGGTTTGAGGCGTGAGGTCCCATAGCAAGGCAGACATTTTGGCATGTGACAGCAGGGACTCTGATAACTGTAGCCAGTACTGGACTCCTTGTTTTGTAAATGCTGGGACTCTTAACAAAATTAGTTTTAGCTGTGCTCTCTCACTGATAAACACTGACGACAGCGTCCACTTCAGACAGACTATGAGATGATGTAAGCGCTCGATACAGAAAAAATATAAATATGGCAGCAAAAAATTTAAAATGTAATAATGAAAACATTGTGATAGTAAATTCATCGTGCACATGCAGAGTTAAATTGACTTACAGGTGGACCAATGGGACCCGGAGCTCCTCTGTCTCCCTGCACATGACAAAGGGCACAAATGAACCCAGCTAACAAGTGAAGTGTCCTGACGCCATTCAGTTGAATGTCAAGCAGGCTGAAAAGTGCAAGCACTTTGAATGTAAATATATCAAGAAGAAAAAGAACAACAGAGCTATCTGTCATAAATGCATTTTATATCCTGATGTCCTTTTTACTTTGGCATTTACTGCTTTAGTGCACAGGGCACTTTAAAGAGACATACACATAGAGACACACAATCTCCTCATATCTCTGCTGCGTGCCTCCTCGCCTCCTCGTCTGCCTCTCCTAAATGCACCTCCGGGAGAACGGAGAGAGGAGGCTTGCCGGAGGAGCAATGTGAGAGGACGCACGGGTGCGTATCGTTTTGCGGCCCCCGTGAAAGAGGTGCGACCGTTGACGCATCCGCGCCACACGTGAGGGGAGAAGGGAATGAGAGGAATGAAAGATGTACAAACTGAGAAATGAGAAGAGGGGAATAATGGAAAGCACATTGGAGGAAAATATCTGTAATAATTACCTTTAGTCCATCTCTTCCTGTTGCCCCGGTAGGTCCCTGTATGAATGATAAGACACATGTAAGGGAAGGTTTGTCAAGGTCAGACTGTTTCAAACACGACAGGACTAAGTCGTAGCATCTACAGGTCTTCCTTCAGAGATTAGAAAAAGTTTATAAATTTTACTGAATGAAAATCAAGCAAACTTAACCTCCAGGTTTTGAGATGCTACTCTGATGTTCAGCAGAAGCCGAAGCTTCAGTGGGAAATGAACTGGGAAACAGATCATTGTCTTTTTTCTTACCACTGGCCCCCTGCGGCCTCTTTTCACGTGCTTCAGGTCCGGCTCTGGACCCATAGGTCCCATGTCCCCCCGGGAGCCAGGCGGGCCCCTGTCCCCTGGGCCCCCTCTTTTTCCCGGTTCTCCTGGGTGTCCTGGTGAGGACAGATGGACGTGGCGACAAAGACAGCTCTTCAAAATTGGATAATTATTATTATCCTAGTGTCTGTTATTTGCCTTTTCAAACTCTTCCATCTTAGTATTCTAACAAACATCATTACCTGGGACCCCAGGAGCTCCTGGGGGGCCGGGCAGACCAGGAAGACAAGAGCTATCAGCACTCTTTCCTGCCCTCCCCAGAGATGGCTTATCACTGCTGTTGGCCAGGTCGGGTACCTAAAAACACAAAGAGGAAAGACGATGTAGGAAAGCTTGCGAGCCAGCTAGCGAGCCAGCTAGCGAGCCAGCTAGCGAGCCAGCTAGCGAGCGAGGTGATTTGAGTCTCACGTGAACATTGTATGCGTGCTACCTGGTTGGGTGACTGTGTGTTTGCCAGCCGGAGCTTTAACTGCAGCAAACTGTTTTTCATGTTGATGAAGTCCTCACAGGTGAAGGAGCAGGTACCGGCACTCATCAGGGTGTCTGACTTCCCCGATGAACTCACTGTGAGACAAAGGAGATGTTCAAAATGTGGCCAAACTGGGAAACCAAACCTCTGACATCATGTCAATGGCGTCACACCGTGATAGTTGAACAACGGGGCCAAATCGTACCGAATGACAAACAGAAGTGACAACAATTACACAGCCACGCCATCGCCATCATTATCGTTCGCTATGTTGTTTATTTAGACAATTCGCTACTGAATATACATTGAAACGCTGTAAAACTGAATTGAAACACATGAACTCACAGTTGTGTACGGGGATGCAGGAGCGCTGGTCCGGGGCCAGTATGTATCCGCTGTGACAGCGACACAGGAAGCTGCCCACTGTGTTCACACACTCGTGGTCACACACACCGTTGCCCGGGTGCTCGCACTCATCGATGTCTGTGTGTGTGTGCGTGTGTGTGTGTGTGTGTGTGTGTTTAAAGGGGGACAAAGAGAGAACAATTCAAGTACATTAAACAATGGAGGAGGGCTGTTTGCAGTCAGACAGAGAGACAAAACACCGTTGTAGCCATGGTGGGGGACAGTGGTGAAGTGGGAGAGTTGAGGAGGGAGCGTACTGACCCAGACAGTAAGGAGACTTGTGGTTGCGGTGCCTGTCTCGGTCAAAGCGATAGCCGGGGTAACACGTGCACACCACTCGCCCAAAGTTATCAGTGCACTGCTGCTCGCAGGGCGACGCTGCACACACGTCCACACCTGGAGAGAGAGACAGAGAGAGAGAGAGACAGAGAGAGAGACAGGGAGAGAGAGAGACAGGGAGACGGACTTAGCTGAGCCGGTCATCCAGGATCCCTGAAAGCATCAACACTGTAATCACAGTGCCTTGTTGAATATATTTTCTTTAAATAAAACTTTGACATAGTTCTCCAAAGGCCACAGCCGGCGCCACTGGAGTAGATATCAAGTTAAAGTGTCCATTACAAAAGATATACATAACGTAGGACATCAATCTGAGGACATAGTGGAAAGTCAGCATGTGGTACAAACTGCCGTGATCCACATTTGAGTTACTGTACAGTACTTAACTATATTTAGCTATAATGTGGCTCCCTGGTTCTCACCAACAAAAAGTCCCTGGAAGAGACTCAAACTGACCTCAAAAAACATATTAAAATATATGGAAAGGGACAGAACAACCACGAAGGAACAATGCAGAATAGGAATACAAAGAGACAAACACAACTTAAAAGATCAGCAAAGACACGGAATGGTTATAAAGAGACACAAAACGGGGTAAAAAACACTAGACACATAAAACTACAAAAGGACCAAAACAACTCTGGTGAAATGCATAACAACAAGAACAACATAGAGACACAAGACAACAACAAATACGCATGTGTGTGTGTCTTTCTCCTACGTAGGCGTATTTGAAGGCTCATGGAGGAACAGTGTTCTCTGGTGGCCGATGTGACTCCATGTTGTTCATTCCACCGCTGAAACAGCCCCCTGCTGCTCGCTTGCGTCCCTGATTATTAACTGCAGTTGCCTAATTACACGTATATTGCGTCACTTCTGAGGGCGAAGCTTGCGTGCACTTTCTTCTTCGCCTAGACGTTGTTAAGACTCCAAAAGGACAACCTGAGGTTCCCGTGGACTTGTTTGGAGGCCCAGGCTGTGCTTTGTGCAGCTTGTTTGAATCTAGAGCCTCTACTGTAACAGAGACCTTACATGTGATTTAGAGCGTGAGTTCATGAGCCCGACGTAGTGCGTATGGTTTACCTACTTTCAGGTATGCACTGGCCCATCACAAACCGAAATCCATCACAGCATTTCCTCCTGAAAGAAACAAGAAGAAGAGATCAGACGTTTACATTTCGACCACCATTTAAAAAAGCATCGGCATCCTCGCTGCTGGCATAGACTGACATCTTGGGAAATGCTTATATGCAGGCTCGCAGAGAGCTGGATGGAAGCATTGATGTCACCCTCGTTTTTGTGTAGAAAACATGAGGCGGCTGTCAGCAAACCATTAGCTTAGCTTAGCAGAAAAGCCTGGAAACAGAGGGAAACATCTGGCAAGGCTCTTTCCAAAGCTAACAAAATGGATCCCCCAGCAGCCATTATTTACAAATATACATCTCGCTAGCTTGATCTGCACCAAAACCAAAATGTAAAAACCACAATTGGCAGATTTAACAAGAGGTACAGCGACTTAGTCTTAGTCAGAATCATTTGCTTGGCGACCAGCAGAGTTGTGTGTTTTCTACCGGAAAATAAAACTCAAGAGAAAGTAACTGAATCCCCGCGTTGACCTCATGTCACCACTTTGTGACTTCGTTAATCGCATGATTACAAGTAGATTAGGTTAGTGATATATCAGATTAACAGCCTGATGATTTGTGGACGTGTTTTGCCCGTTGACACCAGCTTTATTAAAAAGGAAGCAGCCAGACTGTACGTTACAAACATTTATGAGCAGCATCTCTCAAGTCTGACGGCTTCTGGGCCGTTCTTTGGTTTCTCCTTCACAGAATAAAAGAACATTTGTAGAAGCAGTTTAGCCGCTGTGTTTTTTTTTTTTCTTAGTTCCCTTTCATGATCCCCGGCCTTGACGTTTTTAAACTCCTTTACAGAGACGTGATTGTGCCTTCTTCAGATGCAGAACTTATTGACTTGCGGTATTGCGCAATGAATATTGGGAAACAATTTGTGCCCTAAATTGATTTACGGTGTTTGGCTACAACACTCGTCCAGCCATCCTACAACAATCCACCACATGTTACAGACATTGGGGTTGGGAAACAGAGAGGAAATGGAGCAAACATCACACACACACACACACACACACACACACACACACACACACACAAACGCTTTGAGAAGAGGAGGAAGAATGCACGACTTCTGTCTGCTGTTACAGGAGGGGAGTTAAGCATGCTGCCTCATTCATGGCCCCCTCAAGACAACAAGTTGCTCTTACTCTCCTCCAGCCGCCATGCAGTGTAACCCTAAATCACCCCCCCCACCCCCCTCCGTCCCCACTTCCCCCATCTCCTGAATGAAAAATAACCTATAAAATGCCGTGGCTTGGCCTAAACTGATGAGATCCAGATGAGAGCGGCTTTAATCTGCATCCTGTAGTGGGGATGGTTGCGAGGGATGGATGCAGGCCGCCATGGAGCCGAGGTGGAGAAAGGAGAGTGTGTGCCGAGATGTCACTTCTTCAGTCAGTCAGTCAGTCAATAAATCCATCAAGCGGTCCGCTCTGTTGGGACAATACTTCGCTGAGGCAAAGGTTGATCTGGTTCTGACGTGATAAAAAAAAAAAATCGACGTACCGAATAAATCAAACCTTTATTCCAGATGACGACCCCGCTTTTCATTTCACCAGCACAACATTTTTCATGGTGTTATATAACTAGGATTGCACATATCAAGTAAGCCACATTGGTGTCCATGCAGACGAATGCTGCCATACCTTGATTTGTCCTACTGAAAGATTTGTGCAGGTTGAAGAGAAATCATTCAACCAAAGCGGGCTGGGCTTTGTGGTAAGAGAGCGGACTACTTTGTGCTGTGATACATTCACAGGAGATGCATTCAGATTCTTCTGCCTTGCTAGTTCCTCTCACCCGTAACTCTTAACCTGCTGTCAGATTTTTATACTTTTGGACGGTGTACTTGGCACACCAGCTGACGAAACTCCATCGCTGAAGCTCAGGCGCTTTTCTGCTGCCAGAGACACTTATTCCCTCCACGTCATTTTTACACGAGTGCTTGCGATGACGTTCCTAGGACAGAGCTGGTGGAGACAACGTAATAGATCGATTTAGTGAGAGCTGTGTGTCGGACACAGATCTGCACCCTACTGAGGTCCCCTCTCTGGTCTCCCTTTGGATTTACATAATTTGACTTGGCTTCAGCTTAAATTCTGAATTGCACACAGTCTTTGAAGCAACTAACCTTCTCCCACACAATCACACATCATGACAAACCCTTATATCAGTTAGAGCATACCGGTCAGAAATGTAGAACAATCAAAGATCCACAGAGCAGCTGAAGCCATCTGATCTCTCACTTGAACACACTGCACATGCATTGACGGGCCGTCTGTCAGCGGCCTCGGCAGCGCTCCTGCCGGGTCATTGTGATGGACGGGACAGGGAAGCTGGGGGGCCTGTGGACAGGCAGAGGAGGGTGGAGGGAGCAGGGACCCGTGTGTCCGTATGGGAAAGTATGTTGATCAGATAGACAACAGGTCCCAGTGACTTATTTGTACGTGTGCAGAAGTTTGTCTGGTTGGAAGTGTGTCTTTTATCAGTATCTTATCAAATTGTACTATTTAGGATTTAATTGACCTGAATAAACCTGATATCTGTGTCCCACTTTCCAGAGTTTGTGTTGACGTGCGTATGCCTGTGTGAGGGATGGGACACCATCTGGTAATTGAGTGCAGCCTTCTAACGCCCGTCAGAGTTTGTTTAAGAGAGCGATCCACGATGCACAAGCTTTCTCTCCTTGTTTCCTGCCCTCTCCGTGCACTTTACTTGTCTCGCGCTACGTCCAGTCTGTGATTTAAAACATGTCGACTGATATTCAGGCCTCTCGTTTCACAGTGCACTCCACCGGTCACTCGCTGCTGTCATAATCTCTGTCTCTGTCTCTTCAGACTGACATGTTGTTGGCCCTGCGTGGCCCTCTGTCCATGAAACCAGATGAGGTGTCTGCCTTCACCATCTTTATTTCATTCAGAGGAATATTTTCTGTCCTCTCAAGGCTTGCTGTGATCGGAAGGATGGCCTTTAACAGAGCTGTCATCCGAGAAAGTATCTTATGAATGTTTGCTTCTCCAAACCACATTGAATGTGGATCGGTATCCGGGCTGAGCGAGCAGCGTATTACAGCGAGCGACAAAATACATAAAGCGACTGCTATTGGCAGTTAGGTAATAATCTTCAGAGTGATAACGACAAAATTAAGCAAGGAAGTTCCCTGAGCGCTGGTTGGAGTGGCAGACAACCACAGGTCTTTCATCCGGGTCACAGTAGTTCATCTCCATTACAAACCGTAAACAGGGCCGTTTTGTAGAAGGGACTTATTATTTTAACACAAGCACCATATTTTTTCTGAGCCAATTGTTTCACATCATTAAAGAAATGGCAAAGCACTCTCATGCAAGCGTGGCTAATATGAAACACATTTGAAAAAAAAGGTATTCTTGGTGCTGAAACAGCAACGTTCAACAACGCTGTGCAGAAAAGTTCAATGAAAAAACCCAATGTGTGTGTAATCATAGCTGATTAGCTTCATTAGGAAAACACAGTGATGACAGACTGGTTTGGACGGGATCTGGAAAGCCTCTGTTGGCTTTCCCTGACACGCGGCCGCTAATTGTGACTGCTGGCTGCTGTTTTTGACAGCTTGTGTACCGAAAACGCAATAAATTACAATAAACAAAGAGAAGGAAGTAGACTGGACATTACATAGCTCAGACAGATCCATGAAAGAATGCCTTGATCTGCCATGACACAGATCCAGCAGAGGGAAAGGATCTGTAGCAAGCAGCAAAAGTATTTTTTTTTGTGAGCTACATTCAAAATATGAGTCCACCAGGGTTCTGAAAGGGCCCGCTGGTGTTTATTGAGGATGGATAAACTGTGTGCCACACTGACATGATCCCATTTGAACCGCTGCCCGGCTTCCAGTCAGCTGCTGCCGAAATCAGCACATCACGGCAGAGGTGGACCAAAAAAAAGGACATGATCCAGAGGTGCCTGTACTGCTTTACAACAAAGATTATTTTCTTTAGCTAGTGGGTCACCTTCCAGTCACCTTCCAGTGTGCATGTGGGGGGGGTGCTCACTCTTTTGGTTCCCATCCAGCGATACTGTGATTTATTTGTCCATTTGCAGGTTGGAATTCTCTACAGACCTAATATTCATATCACCTCAAAAAAAAGAAAATCACACTTAAGTCCCCAACCCAGTCCTGAGGGCACTGGGTTGGGGACTCGGCCTGGATGATGCCTTCATAGGCTACGCTGTCACTGTGTGTCACTGTGTGTCACTGTGTGTCACTGTGTGACAGCATAGTGTGGTTCCCCTGTTTGCTGGTTGAGCTGAGTTTCTACTATGGGCGATTATAACAGGCTAAAATAAATCCTGTTGATCGCTTGGATCTGGGGATGATCTGTGGAGGCATGTAAAGACAATGGGGGAGTAAATGGGTAAGACATGAGGCAGGAGGACCTTGAGGGGGGGAGGAGGAGGAGGACAGTTGAAGGACAGGAATGAAGGCTGTTGTCAGCTTAGAGTTTCCCTCTTGGGATTCCGGCGGGAAGAACACAGGAAGTAGAGCTCGATGGAGGTCAATGGCCTCTTGACACGCCAGGACAGGAGACCAGGCCATGTGTGTGTCTGTGCGTGCGTGTGTCCTCTCAGTTTGATGGATGCCTCCAACTGATGTGGCTTATATGTGTTACGATTACAGCATGCTGTATTCATCAACCATGCTGTAACTGATTTATTTGCCCATCAACCCACACAGCCGCACACACTTCAGAAACCTGGCTGTGAGCTTGTATTGACTGATTGTGCAAAAACACATGAGCATGATGTGATCGACCATACAACACATTTTTTGGAGAGCTGCCACATCCTTTCTTTATTTTTAATCTTTTGGGAGTCCGTATCGCTCATTTCTGACTTTTCTTGTTTGCCTCAAATCCTTATAATCCCCAAAAATCCCTCTTCGCTCTCCACAGATGAAATCAAACCAGCCTCTAATCGCCTTCGTCTCAAAGGGGTGAAAGTGTGAACTCTCACTCGCATGCGCAG